AGCTTTCCATTAACCAATGGCACAAGCTTCAACCCTTGCAGGTCTCAGAAGGGGCCAAAGTCCGACCATTCACAAGAGTCAAGCTTGTTTGTTCAATGTATATGCACAAATCTAATCTGTGCTATTGTCCAAGAGCCACAGTGCGTATCCCCCAGAAGTGCTCAGCATGCTACAGGCAAGCTGAATGCAGTGGCGTGAAGCACTAGCTGCTGGTCTAAGTTGATAGCTAGCTGATAACACCCTGCTCTTCATTAGGATTTCCTGCTTTTCAAGCTGTCTAAAAACAGTTACATTTTTCAATTTGTTTCAAGAAAGTGCTGCTTGCCAATTTATTCACAGCAGAAACAGTAGGAAGAAGGGAGCCAAAGCTAGAAACTCAAAGGCAACAAAGTAAAATGCACACGCCCTGATTTCATTTCTCTTCCCCTCCATCCTCAGCATCCTTCCAGAACCTCTGTGCCACGTTTTAGGTCCACGTCTCTCAAGACACAGCCCTATCTTATTACAGTTGCAAAAGAAGTGCTTTCAGACCATAAGGTGAGAAGCGCTAAGTGAGATATAAAGGAGGAAATGCTACACGTCATTCTCCTGAAATCTGCCTTCACTGCTCCTCATTCCGTACCCTGCTCTTTCCTTTTTCTCCCACAGCTCCAGGGAGGAGGACAGCTGCTTGAATTTCTCCCACCCATGGAAGATGGCAAATGCTGCTTGTTGTCAAGTAGATCACTGTCCCATAAGGCCCCAGTATCTGGAGCTGCAACTGCTGTTACAGAAATCCCACATCTTTGAAGCATGCATGTAAATCCAAGGCACTGTACAAGTAACATTCATTCCTCTCCCAGGCCCAGCACAAACAGTTTAATAGCACAGGCAGCCTGAAAGGACAGGACATTAACAGGCAGACAGACGTGAGGTCGAAGTCGTGGGGAAACTGAGCCAGAGAGCAGTCAAGTGCCCGAGGCCGCAGAGGAGAGAGTAAAATGCAGGAGAGCCTTGTTCACAGTGCTGTGCTCTCACATGACCTTTGTTAGACGGAGTCAATCGGCGCTGCTGGGACAAAATATTGGCTGAAGCTGGAAACTCCCAAGGCTACAAGCAGAATCCATTCCATGCAGTTGCGAAATCATTTGCTTTTCAATGGAGTCCACCCAGGAGCACAGCGGAGACAAAGCTTGTTCCAGAGGCCTGTGCTTCAGCACAAAACTAACACTTGCTTCCCTCCCCACCAGGGATGTCAATGTGTAGTCGACCCTACGATTAACCGATAGGCCTAGGCTTATTGGTTAATCTTGTTGACAACACACGCTCCCTTGCTGCCTCTCTATTAGAGGCAGCGCAGCAGCGAGGGGAAGGGGAAAAAGGGGGGGAGGGGAGCAGGAACTGGTGCTGGGGGGAGCTGGCTTAAAAGCAGTTCCCCCCAGCACCAGCTCCACAGTGCCACCTGCCCCACACAAACTGCTGCCTCTATCTGCGAAGCAGCTCCACCTCTCATGGAGCAGCCTCTATCCACAGGAGGTCCGAGCACCCCATGGATAGGGAAGGCGGAGCAATCTCTATCCGCGGGGAAATCGGACCTCCCCCCTGTGGACAGGGGCTGTTGCTACCCCATGCTGCTACCTCTGTATCAGATACAGAGGTAGCAGTGCAGGGTGACAGGGGACTCCCCGGGAGTGGGGCCAGGAGCGCACTGGCTGCCGGCCCTACCCCCGAGGATGACAGAATAGTCGAGTAACCAATAAGAATTCATGAGGTTACTCGACTATTCAGTTACCTGCTATCTAACACCCCTACTCCCTGCCTGGCTGCCCAGGGGGACAAGAGCCCTCTGACGGATTCCTCAGCGAGAGGGGGATCTTTACTGCAGAGAGAACAAAGGGAAACCAAACCAAAGATGCCCTCCGATGCCCAACAGTGAAAGAGCAGAAAGCCACTGCCTGGCTAGCCTGCCAAAGACGCCCTGTTTAATAAAGATTCCTTTGTGCTCAGGCAAGGAACTACAAATCCTTCCGTCACCGCGGCAGCAGGAGACACCGCCACGGCCTCTCATAGCTCTGCCATTGGAGCCCTACCGTTCTGCAGGGGAACAGATGCCTGCCCGACAACACTCTGTGGGGGTGGAGCAGGGTGAGGGAAGACGTGCAGTATCGGCTTCCTTGCTCTTCTAGCCTCTTGGGACTACCACCCCCATAGGGACTCCTCAGAACATCTTCCTAAGGCAGAGCTCTTGACTAGTTTGAAATGCCACCAGCCAAAGAGCCTCTCTGGGAAGATTATTCCAGAACCCAACACATCTCAGTGTAAGGATGTATTCAGAGAGGAAATCCATACACTGGCTGCAGCTACTTGACAATCTGTGGCCATAGCAACATTACTATAATCGACGCTGCATGAAACAAAAGCTGCTCATATCACATTGCTCCCCGCCCCCCTGCATTGCCTGCAATGCTAGCCCTGAATGCCCATTTACCCACTTCTTCCTCAGATGCCTCCGTGCTTCCTTCCACATACACATGGGAAGCAGTGCTTTGATTAATCCACAGTAATGCTTTTGCCTCCTTCAGCCCCTCTCCTACGACCCACCTCAGTTGCAGTGCTCCCAGGAAGTCAGCCACATGATGATGGAAAGGCTGAGACACATTCTAGGATTATCTTGATGGGGGAAGATCGATGCTACCACGATCGATCTTCTGGAGTTCCATTTAGTGGATCTAGTAAAGACCTATTAAATCAAACTCAGAGGGCGCTCCTGTTGGTGGCTAGTACTCCTGCTCCTGTGAGGAGTAATGAAAGCCAATGGGAGTGTTTGCACCCATCGGACTCCCGCAGTGGGGAAACACAAATTAAGGTGTGTCGACTCCAGCTATGTAATTAACATAGCTGGAGTTACAAGAAGTAGTCCTGTGGCACCTTATAGACTAACAGATAACCTTATAGCTGGAGTTGCGCATCTTAATTCGACCTTCCCCTTTAGCGTAGAGTTGGCCTAAATGAGCAACACTTCCCATGATCTGGACGATCAAACTATGCACATGCCTGGCCTGTGCTTTTCTTCCTTCTCCCTTCAGTTGTTTGTTATACTCACTTGCTTTGTCTTATCTTAAATTTGATTATAAGCTCTTTGGGCAAGGGCTGTCTCTTACGGTGTGTCTTTTCAGTGCCTACCATAATGGGGCCCTGTTCTCCACTGGAGCCTTTAGGCGCTAGCGTAATGAAAACAAAAATCAATTAAAATACTGCGTGATCAAGCTAGCAAGCTATTTGCCTGCACCCTGTTCCATCTGCCTCCATCACCCAAAGAGCATCTGGTGAGAGGAGCTGCACACTGAATTGAGGAAGATGCTCATGGTAATGCTGTCACTATTTTTAGCTTCCCAGGTCCGTAGTAGCATTTGGGCTTCCTGCTCCCAGAGAGAACATCTGGATTCTATCAAGTCATTCAAGCATTTTTCACACAACTCAGATTTTAATAAGGGCAACAGGAAAGGGCCCGGGGGATGGGCAGGAGGAGAGAAGACAGCTTCCTTTCTAAATTAGTAACAAAGGTCACAGGGCTGCAGTTTGTCCACATTTAGGGTGGCCCAGCAGAGGTGATGATGTTCCTGAAGTTACACTAGAGACAGAACACTCATACAGTGGTTTAAGCAAGGAACTAGGAGTCAGCTGATCTGAGTTCTATTCTAAGCTCTAGCATAGACTTGCCATGGAACCGTTCCTGAGACACTGGAAGCAGTTTTTATTCAACAGGACTGGGAAAGCTGGAGCTTGTCTCCCTTCACCCACAAGCAGAGAAGCTTTTCCTGAAATTCCCAGTCACTGCTTTCTAATAGACACCCATGTGGTGGATTTCCCGTCTCATGTGCCGTGATGCCTCACCCTCACCAAACCACAACACAACTAGAATAGAGGAAAAGGCAGAGTGTTTTTTTTTATAAGAGGCAGAAAACTGCAGACATGAGAACTAACCATATCTGGAGTTGACATGACTCAAAGAAACAGGCATATTTTGCAGAAGGGTGAAGGGCATAGCTCAGGATAAGAGGCAGAAAACTGTAGACATGAGAACTAACCATATCTGCAGAAGGGTGAAGGGCATAGCTCAGGGAGAGCTGGTCCTCGAGGCTCAGGGCCCTCCCCCCCAGCATCGGGAAGCCTGTGCTGGCACTCCAGACCCCCCCACTGCCCCACCCTGAGGCTGGAGCACATAATCTACTAGGCTGGGCCCCACTAGGGTCTGGTGTGTGAGGGGCATGTCTTTCTGCTTCTCAATCGGGGACCACATCAGTGAGGGTTGGGTGTTTTTGTTCTTTTGGGGTTTTTGTGTTGGTTCTTACTTGTGTGCAGCCCTGACTGATTTTTCTCTGAGTCAGCAGCCCCCAACCCAAAAAAGATTTCCCCACCCCTGGCATAGCTGGAGCAATTAAAATTGCAGTCCTCTGCTAGAATTCTCCATCGGGGTCTCAAACCAGACCTCCTCAGGGAGCTGGCCTGATCTGTTCCGGGGAGGCCCCAACAGCAGTTCTGGAACAGCATGAGCTCTATACCCGCCTACCCGAATAAAGATCTTTCCGAGGAATAGAGGACGCTTCCGTAACTCTCAGACCCAGCAGAAACAAACTCAGCAAGACAGAAGAGCTGTAAGGGCTCCCTGGATACGTTTACCCCTTTCAAGGTCTTTTAATGTGTCCAGCGCCCAGGTATTTCAGTGCCTGGCAGCAGCCTGCTCTATTCCATTAGAGGTACCACGTCACAGACATCTGATAAGTGCCAAGGTTCCATTGGAAAAGGGGCTCTTTAGCAGGTACGCGAAGGAACAACGGAGATGTGTTTTGCCCCATGCACACTGGAAAACACCAGAATATAAGATGACAACTGTGTAATTTCTTCTGGACCAAGGCCATGGGACAGTTTGAGAAAGCACATTTCAGACTGACTAGGCAGTCGCATGCACGGATGCTACGATACAGAGTAATGCTCGAGTGAATCCACAGTAAATGCCTTACCTTAAAATCAGGTTTCTGCAACCTGAATCCAGCTTCCAGCCTGTCAGGTAGTGTGATCGCCAGTGAGAAAGTTTACTTCGGGCACTTTTCAGCCTCCTTCACAACTGCCTTTTGCTCAGATCTCAACACGCTCCCACTGACGACCAAGGGGGACAGCTAAAACACACAAAAAAGGCTTATTTAATTGCAGTGCATTTGTAGTCTCTAGACTCCTTGGAAACAAAGCATTTTAAACCAAAAAACTCCAGTCTCATGCACTATATTTGTGAGTGCCAACGTCTACTGGTGCACAAGAGCCACTGTCTCGGTATTCGATTAATATAGGACAGCTAACTCCATTTTCTTTAAAAGGAGAGTTCGGTAAACGCTCTGCCACTTCTCCCTTGACCACCTGCCTCCTGTGAACAAAACATTCCACCACCAAAAGGATCTCCCTGTTGATTTCAAGAGTCCCAGATCCTGTGAGAAATGGCAGTGTCATGCAAGCAAGAAAATTCTCTCGGTTAAGAAACTGGTCATAGAATCAACCACAGAATCATAGAACTGGAAGGAGCCTCGAGAGGTCATCAAGTCCAGTCTCCTGCCCTCATGGCAGGACCAAGCACCGTCTAAATCCCTAATGTCCAACCAGTTCTGAAGCTGCTATAGCGAACTAGCCACATTATTCTGAAAATGTAAATAATATAATGCAAAGCCAACTAGCCACACTCAACTGGCCAAACAGCCTCATGTGGCTAGCTCGTTGGACATCACAGATCTAAATCATCCCTGACAGATGTTTATCTAACTTGCTCTTAAATATCTCCAATGATGGAGACCCCACAACCTCTTTAAGCAATTTATTCCAGTGTTTAACCAAAATGCCAGGAAGTTTTTATTAATAGCCAACCTAAACCACCCTTATTACAATTTAAACCCATTGCTTCTTGTCCTATTATCGGAGCTCAAGGAGAACAATTTTTCCTCCCTCCTCCTTGTAACACTCTTTTAGGTACAGGCAGTCCCCGAGTTACGCGGATCCGACTTATGTCGGATCCGCAGTTACGAACGGGGCAGTTCCTCTCCCTGGTCTCCAGCAGACCAGAGAGAGGAAGCAAAGCGGCGGAACACGTGGGCAGCGGACAGGGCTGTCCGCTGCCCACGCGCTCCGAGGCTTGGCTCTGCTTTGCCCCCCCTCCCCCTGGTCTGCTGCCCACGTGTTCCGCCGCTTTGCTTCCTCTCCCTGGTCTGCTGGAGACCAGGGAGAGG